TCCGGTGACCCTCATTCATCGTCATTAATGATATTTACTTCATGTGCACCGTAGTTGATTTGTTTTTTTCTCAACTATTATGCAAAAACAAAAATGATAAAGACCTGGAATAAGATAATTGAATTCGATAATTATAATGGTAGATCTGTCATAATTCGTCCTCATTTTCCTGCTTATCTTCTGTCACTATAAATTTCATTCGAAATTTCTTAGTTATTTTTTAGTCTACACTGATGAAGCAGGAGGACATGGATGTTTAGTTAAGCTGAATCAGGCTAACGAATCATTGACTTGTATAGCTTCCATGTACGCTATAGTTACATATTTCCATTTTGTTGTGTTATCACTGGAAACCAATGAACAATGGTATGTCCATACTTTGAGAACTATCAATAAACCTCTTATCAGTTTATACATACAAATTATTCACTTCTGTAGATTTTAAAACATAAACAATATGTTTATTAAAGTAACACTGAACGGCAGGTTCTTCCTAGTATATGACTTTTCAACATAGTGTTATCTGTGTCAACTTGAATCGATGCACATATATTGTTTATGACTAAATAACTGACCTTAACACAATACAGTTAGAAATTGTATGATCTACATTTCCACCTTCAATCCATTTTATGGTATTTCATTTACACTTAAGAATTCAGTCATTTTCGTAGACAACACCCCCGCAACGAGAATGCAGTGAGTAGGACTTCCCTGGCAAAGGGTGTATACGCGTGTCCATGTGAGAGCATTTGGAGAGGGAGAGCGGACTTTCCCCACTGTCGGCCGTACCAGGGCATTTGGGGATTTTAATGAGTAATATAAACTGTTGTTCAATTTCATATGGTAAATCTTAACAATTTATCTTAATATGATTGTTTAATAGATACTTAACTCCATCATACCTTTATCACATGTCTATAATAAAACTATGCGGTCTAATTTCATTAAACTTAACTATAATCTGATAAATACTTGACATTTAAAGCGGAATCTCTAAAAAACCCAGCATATAATTTTGTAGAAGGATAAACTATAACTCGAAATATTGAATATATTGATGATGATGTTGAGTATCAGATTTATTTTGTAAATAGTAATTTTTTGATATCTTCACTTATATATGAATTGGATGTTTGATTGTTTCGACACAAATTAGTTGCTTTCTTTAGGTATGCTGTTGTATTATTGTCAACTAAAATAACATTGTAGGTTAGGCCCACAAATACACTGGTACGGCCGATGATGGGAGAGGAAGTCCGCTCTCCCAATCGAAATGCTCTCATATGACCACGCGTAAACAGCCACTGACAAAGAAGTCTTATTGACTGCTTTCTCGCAAGGGGGGTGTTGTTTAAGAAATTAAGAGGATAGAAAGTGTACGTTCGGAGCTCTAACTGAATTGATTGATACTGTGGATCCATCAAGGGGGAGTTGGAAAACCTTGCTTCCAAACCAGTGGTTCACATGGGCTCCAAGATCCTGATGGAACAAATGATATATGAACCTATTGTTGGTTATCGACTACTATGGGACTGCATCTCCTGACGTTGCTCCATTGCCTTGTGGATCAAACCTTTTGGCCCCTTAATGAAACCACGATCTGGGTAACCGTGCAGTATCACAACCCACACACAAATTAAGTGACCTGTATAGCACATAAATAAACGTAGATTAATTACTATGATTCAATGGTCTGTAGATTTGACATCCACTCATTAGCTTGTGTGTTCGAAATCTTCTCCACCAACTTTGATTAGACAACCAGCCTTTTACACTTAGAGCGTAGCTCAGAGCCAAGTTAATGAATTTGTCCTTGGTAAATAACTATTCATCATTTAAGTTAGTCATCAATAAATTACCATCTGAAGTAGGTTTATATCATCCAATATGACGAAATTTCATATCTCTGATAAGTCGGAATACCCATTTATCAGTTACAGATTCTTGTATTCATCTTTGTACTATGCTTTAAGTATAACCGATTATGATACTATCTCATTTCCCATAATGAATTATATATATATACTGGTTTTAAATCTTGTAATCTAATAGCTAGAAATTAAAAGTCTTAATTAAAATTCAATATTTAAAAGAAAAATGATGTATAATAAATTCATTTATACCTCTTCAATAATCAATTTAAAGTTATGTCATATAAATTTCTTAACAATGGATTCTGCTTATTACCTTGGTTTCTAATCAATAATTTTTTTCATTTCAAACTAGTCATTAGAACATTATATTCTTCCTGACCGTTGTTGCTACCTTGACGTGGTGGTCGGGCTTGCCTATCGTGATGAAGCAACTGAGCTATACTGGCTGGAACAACCGTTCCTCAAGTTCCTACCATGCCAGACAGGTCGGTTGAAGAGCGGTAAGACTAAAAGCAACAAAACCTAGGTCCGAAGGCGAAGTCGTACTGCTGACTGTACAGAGGTGTGACAGCAGTAAAGTGTTTCCTTCAGACAACCAGCATAACAGCGATGCTGCCTTCCCACAAGGTGGGGTGGGATTAGAAAAGGTCGACCCTAAAAATGCACACCTCGCCTTATCCCACGAATATCCGTCTCCGGCGCTAAGGTCTCAACAAGTACGGAGCTAACACAAAAACTACTCATAAAAAGGTCGTATGTGACCGACCTCAAGCAGCTGTCCTTTGGGCACTGCGGTCACGCTCTCAGGTCACTATGACCAACTCTAATCCAATTTCCTTTTCAGGTACCTCCAGCAGAAGAACCCTTCCACGGTGTGGGCAACCGGGAAGTGATAACCGCTCTCATACCTCTAACAGCACTCAAGACCACTGACTGACTGACTGACTGACATTATATTCTTAATTTTAGAGCCTACTACTTTCTTAATTTAATATATTAGTTCATATTTCATATTTTTATTGTTTGTTACTAGGTCTATGTAATATGTTTTTTTTTTTAATTTTATTTTAATAAATTAAGATTTTACGTCATTATTAATTGATTTATAACTTGATATATTACACCTAATCATTAGAATTACTTTTATTGTATGTAAATTTATGCAGATTGAATGCATTTACAGTATGTATGTGTATATGTATATATATGTCTTCTGAATTCTTCGTGTCCCTTTTTTTTTCTCTTGCCAAATATATTTCAATGGATTATACTCTTTAAATAACATCTTCAAAGCTTAATGTTTCCGATTGTTACTTATACTTTTACTACCTTTACTATTATGGGATTTGAATTGATAATTGTATTTGTGTGTTAATGTGGTATGACAAATCGAACTGATGTATGTACGTATGTACGAAGTTCCTCCAAATGCCCTGGTATGGCCGAGAGCGGGGAGGGTTCGCACTCCCTCTCGAAATACACTCACACGGCCATGCGTACACAGTCTCTGCCAGGGAAGTCCTACTCACTGCCTTCTCGTGGCATTACTGTTGTTTACGAAAATGAGAGGACGAAAAGCGAATATCCGGCGCTATAACCGGATCCCAAACCAATGGTGCACATGGGCTGACTCCAGTATCCTGCGGGAACAAATGGCGTATGAACCAATCGTTGGTCACCGGCTGACTACCATGTGACTGCATCTCCTTACGATGCTCCACTGCCTTGTGGGTCAGACCTTTAGGTCAAAAGCTCGGAGTGTGGCCCCCTAAGAAAACCACCTGCTTCGATTTGGGCACCCGGGCATTATCACAGCCCTCACATATATCAAATGAGATGTGTGGCGCATATATATTCGGCGCCTCCTTGTACCAATATCTATGTGTTAAAATAAATAAATAATCCCTATTCTTAGTCTTTTCATTTAAGTCACTAATTAGGTTTGTGTATAGGAACATCTCGTATGGGTTTCAAAATTAAACATTGCATAATATAATACTTGTAACTAAATGATAATATTGAGACAATTCACTCAGGCTGGTTATATTCTAACAATAGACTGACCAATTGTAGTCTTAAATGTTGACAGTGGAATTAATTCATACCCTAACAAATTACTTTATTTCTAGTGAACAAGTTGATGGCTATCTGAACTCAGTAGTTTGGTGATGTTTAAAACTAAAGGTACTGGGTTTGAATGCCACTGTAAATATCAACACTGAGATTCAGGTATATCCAATTGAAGAATGTCAAATAAGATAAGTCTTGTCAAAATCGGATGAAACAATTTTGATTTATACTTTTTTTTATCAACTTAGCTGGTTGTGAATTTTCATCAACGGAAATGGTTAGGTCACGTGTTACGTATGCCTGAACACTGATTACCACAATACGGCCAAAACAAAACTTGACATCAGTCCTTGAAGTCATTAAATTCTAATCTGAGTCATGTTGGTAAATGCAGACTACTTGATTGGGGTCCGTATGACTATCGTAATCAATGATTGTCTGTTGTGTGTGACATGGCTCAGAATCGATCATAACAGCGTAGGTGTACACACTCCTTGTCTTCCCTTTAAATCGTAAGATCTCTATTTCTACCAACTAATTCTTTCTTCCTGCATTATATCCTTATATATAATCTTTCTTATATATATATATACTACCACCATTGAATTAACCATTTCTATGAAACCGGTGTTCATCTTGTTATACTAATGAGGTATGGCAATTTGGACGGATGCATATATGTGGCCTAGTCCTACATTGTAGCTGACTAACTGACTGACTGATAATTGACTAAATCCATCCTATATTACTGTATAGTTTTACCGTTTAATATTTCAGTTAGTTGATTATTTAAACTAATTAATCATATAACAACTTAACATTTAACTGTTAACTGTTGTTTTTTTTTAAACACTACCCAATCGAATAGTGATACAGAAAATCCCTTAAAAAAACAAAACAATGAAATGATTAATCAATCTTTCAAAATGAACTACAACCTATTTATTACAATGTATCCTTCATATAAAATTATGTAAATACAGTTTCTATCAAGTCATTATTCATTTTCTTTTTTTTTCTCTCTCCCCCCCTCCCCCCCCGTTCTTATTTCAGGTTTACATGAAGAAGATTTCTCTAAACGTATTAATACATTTGGTGCTAATGTTATACCACAACAACGTGCTAAAACATTTTTAAGATTAATGTGGGAAGCTTTACAAGATTTAACTTTAATTGTTCTTATTGTTGCTGCATTCATTTCACTTGCTTTATCACTTTATATAAAATGTAAGTTAATGTTAGTTATTATCTTCAATATTATTATTATTATTATTATTGTCTTATGTTTTATGTTCAGTTCAATGTGATTTTTAAGCAGTATTAGATGGTAACCTTAAACATTGTCAGGCATCTTATGCATATTGTTTTGTTAGATTACAAGTAAGTCTTGAAGTGGGATGGATACATGTAGATCTAGTTGATAAATGTTAAATAGGATGGAATTCAGTTTGTGGATTCCATTGCTATTAACTATTCATTTCTGTTTTGAAAAAGAAACGAAGCTTTTTATTTACTGGTAATATTGAAGCTAATAAAAGATCAAGAAATTTCAGTCCTAAACATCAGTGAAATGATCTGAACAACTAATTTATTTGGATTCAAATCAATGTCGTTTGTATGCGCCATACAAATCTCATTTGATTTGTGTGAGGGCAGTGATACTGCTCGGGTGCCCAAATCGAAGCAGGTGGTTTTCTTAGGGGGTTACAACCGGAACCTTTGACTTCAAGGTCTGATCCACAAGACAGTGGAGCAACGTCAGGCGATTCAGTCCATAGTAGGCGGTAACCAATAATTTGTTCATATGCCATTTGTTCCCCACAGGATACTGAAGCCTATGTGCACCATTGGTTTGGAATGAGGGTTTCCCAACTCCCCTATGTGAAATCTCCGTGTCCACCAACCTGATTAAAGCACCAGACATTCGCTTTTCATCCTCTCAATTTCGTAAACAACAGCCGTGGTGCGAGAAGGCAGTGAGTAGGACCTTTTGTCATTGGCTGTATAAGCGTAACCATGTGAGGGCATTTTAATTGGGAGAGCAAACTCTCCTCACTCTCGGCCGTACCAGGGGGGGTAATATGATTTATAGATAATATTTGCCATTCAATATAATTTTTTCTAACTTCTCCTATAAATACTTCTTGTATTTGTTTATATGATAAAAATAATTTATTCATTAAGATCATGAGTTAGTTGAAGCTAGACCACTATGGAAAACCTGGAAGCACTGGACGGCCGTTTCGTCCTATTATGGGACTCCTCAGCAGTGCGCATCCACGACCTCGCCCCCTGCGAGATTCGAACCCAGGACCTACTGGTTTCGCGCTCGAGCACTTAACCAACCGGCATCCAACGGTGTTAATGTCTAACTTCAACTAATCCACGAAATTGAGCGACACATCCACCATTGTCTTCAGTGAGTTTCTATCCCACAACAGACCTGGTTTGAACTCCACTGGTCACTACTTCTCACTAGAACTCCAGGATATACCTCTTGAAGCCAGTCACTAATGAGCATATGTTGATTATTATCAGAAGGGGTTTTGTGGAGATTGTAGTAATTTCATTGATTAAGATCATGAGTCATGATCTTAATCAATGAAATTACTACAATCTCCACAAAACCCCTTCTGATAAAAATAATTTAATCTAAGATACATGTATAATTTCGTTTATTTTATAAAATGTCAGCATAATACTATCTTTGTCTAATCGGGATAGTGGAGATGATTTGTAGCTCAGGTGGATGATTTTCGTAGAGTTTGGTTTGTACGCAGTTGGTTTTGTGAGTTCTTGGGTTATTACTACTATAGTTCAGAATTTGATCTGTATGGATCTAACTAATGTTCATGCCCGTTGATGGATAACATTCTGATAACAACATTTCTGAGTGAAACGCATTTCAATACTTGAACGCTTAAACACCGATTTCTTGATGCAAAAGTCTTGTACCCTTCAGACCTAAATGTAAAATAAAAGACAGGATGTTTTTTAAAAAGAAGTCGTACTTTCAAGACTTTTTAGTGCATAAAAGACAAGCGTATTTATAAGGGTCTTATGTAAGTTTGAAGTTCTTGAAGCTTATGAAGAGCAGATGAAAATTAGATAAAGGAAAATTGGGTAATTGTTCATTAAAGATAGTAAAAGCACCTGGTACGACCGAGGGTGAGGCGAGTCGACTCTCCCGAACGATATGCTCTCACATGTCCACACGTGTACATCCACTGACAGGGGAGTCTTACTCACTGTCTTCTCTCAAAGAGAGTGTTGTCTAGGAAAGTGAGAGGATGGAAAGCTGATGTCTATAGCTCTAACTGGATTGATATATACGATGAATCCACCTAGGGGAGTTTTAAAACCCTAATTCGAAACTAGTGGTACACATGTACTCCATGATCTCAAGAGAACAAATGGCGTATGAATCTATTGTCGGTCGTCGACTACCATTGAACTGTATCTCCTAACATTTCTCTACTGCCGTGTAGATTTGATCTTTAGATCGAATGCTCAGGGAATAGTCCCTAAGAAAGCCATCTGCATCTGTTTGTACACCTGGGTAGTATTTCAATGCTCATACATATCGAATAGTTTGTATTACCTATATGTATTCGGTGCTAGCCAACAAATGTTAAACAAAACGAAACGTCTATTCTAAATCTCATCATTATAGAGTATTATTTCATTGATAATCCAATTCTTACTAGAATTGTTTGTTTAAGTGTATATATATATATACATATATATATCAACGTGTGTGTGTGTATGTGTACTTAAGTACATTTTCTAAATAAAGGATTACTCTTTAATGATAGTGATTAAACTATTTATTGACTGATTGTAACTTGATTATGTAATACTTGTGAATGTATTCTTACCTGCCTACACTTTATTAGTTGACAATTAGAATTAACATATTAAATAATAATTATCTATTTTACTATTGAGTCATTTTATTTTACTCTTAATGATTCTTTATTATTTGTCATCACAAGAGTAGAAGTGAGTGAGTGTGTGTGTGTGTGTGTGTGTGAGGGTGAGAAAGAGAGAGAGAGAGTGTGTGAGAGTGAGAGTGAATGAGAAAGAGAGAATATATATCTATATATATATATATTAATGATTATGTATTCATGTGTAAATGTTTAGATTTCTGTTATCTTTCCTTTTCATATCGTTTAATGCTGTTGTAAGGTAAAATGACATGTTGTAACTGAATTGAAATATAATAAAATTTCTAATAGCACTGGGGGGGTATTTTTAGGCTTAAAAATAATAAGATCAACGATCTAAATGATATTTAAGCATATTTTGTATTTAAGAATCAATGATACCTACTGTTATGAAGTTTTGTTCTCTGAGCTGGATGGTTTGGTCATGGAGCTTTCATCGTTCTTCTGAACGATATCATCAACACAAACTTTTGTGCCCTGATAAGCATAATGAGTGGTAACTTTTTGGGTTCCATTTATAGATCAATACTATACTTATATTTTTATTGTATAATTGTTAAATAACTAAAGTATGCATATTCATGTCCCTCTTATTATGAGCTTTATTTTGACCTATGAACTGTTATTATACGATTGACCATTCTCGAGTTATGCCATGTCTAATAATCACTACCTCCTTCATTCACAGCCACATTTGGCCAAATTTTGTACAAATGTTATTTTCTATTTTATGGTACGATATGGTCTGTTTGTTTGGTATATAAACCCAGTATTGCAGAGGCTGAGATTGGTGTTCTGGACATAACTGGTTGGGCTAGGCACGAACCAGGACCAATAAAGACTCTAGACTTCTCTTACGTGTTTTATGCATCATTGGTCTGATCGTTAATTCAATGCTCTATAATTTTCGGTATCATTACATTATTACATTAACAGGGCACATAGGTCACAAATTATAACACCTATCTTTCTATTAACAATATAACAATGACAATGCTAAACAAGTATCTCACCTTCTATTCTATCATGCCTAAAATGAATACCATTGTCATTTAATTTTACAAGTTCTCTACTTTATAGTTTCATTTTTTTGTTGTCCTAGTTCCATGAATATTCTCTTATAACCTAATAATTGATTCATATTTCCTACTGTTCCATTATAGATATTCATTGTGAATGATATTATCTTTAAACCTATTACAATCTATTTTTGTTTTCTTTGTTTTCATAATTGATTATAATATCATTTACAAATGGTTTCAATCATTTATCAATTAATATTTTATTTCACTGGTTGAAATCATGAATCCATTGAAGGTAGACCACCATGGAAAACCTGGAAGCACTGGATGGATTCATGATTTCAACCAGTGAAATTTCCTAAAATCTCCACACAATCCCTTCTGATAATATTTTATTGACTATGTGATGCACTTATTTACCCCTATAGGAAGTATCAGAAACACTAGAATGTATTAACACTATTCAAAGTGTGTTTGTGTTTTTCTTCTTTTTCTTCTTCTTGTTCTTCTTCTTGTTGTTCTTGTTCTTGTTCTTCTTCTTCTTCTTCTTCTTCTTCTTCTTATTATTATTATTAGTTGGCATGATGATTTCTTTTCTATTCACTTTTTTTTCTTTTCTTGTCTCGTCATATATTATCCTCAGTCTTTTTTTTTCTTTAGTGTTATCATCTCATTTGAAATATTTAAGAAAGAAAGAAAGAAAAAAGAAAAAAAGACAAAAAACAACTAAAGAAAGAAATAATAATTATATATTGTTTGTTATGAGAAAAAAAAAAGAATAGAAATGTTTTTTTTTGTTGTTTTTGGAGAGAGAGACAAGATGGTGGATGGAAACTGTTAGTCAATGAGAGAAGAAAATCATTGAAATAATTCACTTGATATTGTTGGTTTATTTGAATTTTCCCATTGATGTTTAGGACTGAAATTGGCATATGTGCATGCTGTGCGTATTGCCTCGATGAAATGCGCGTCTTGGATTCCACTACTAGTCACTATCTATTTTTACTTATAATCATTGAAATAGTTGTATAATTTTATATTCAATTATTGATTTAAAGGGAGTACTGTCACATTTTTGTGTAGTGAATAATAGAAATTTGTCCCGATAAGCATAATGAATGGTAACTTTTGTGATTTATTTATGGACCTATACTAAACGTATATTTTTATCGTATAATTGTTAAATAATTAAAAACTATAAGTATTCATATTTCTCTTATTATAAGCTTTATTTTAACCTATGAACTCTTATTAT